TTTTTAAAGACAAAAATTGTTTAGGCGAAATACCCAAAAAGAAGTTTGTAAAAAATGAATCCGCCTCAACAATATAGAACTTATCTATAATTTAAATATGTCGCAAACAGTTAGGTCACTAGTTAGAAAAACTCGTGCTTGCAGAGGATTTTTTTAAATTCTGATTTTATTTTGTCGAACCAGTGTTGGGTAATAAACTTACCTTACTTGAGAAGCTTTTACTTGATCAATTTTCTGGTATCTTGGTATCAGTTCATCCACGATCCATTGATTTTCACATTCGCAAGTCCATGGATTTGCTCTAATGTCCAGTTCGATTAATTGGTCCCATCTAGCTATCACTTCGCTGTCTAGATATGAAAGTTTATTGTTTCCCAAATGTAGCTAGAATAAATCACTGCGTATTGATGTGTCTGATAGGTAGCAAGTTAAAATTTCGTTAAAAAAAAATGAATGGAGCAATTCGCTCAGTTAACGATATACAGTGCAAAAGGAAAACAGTTTCATAGAATGAACATTTTTATCCTTGTGAAAATTTCGGTTTTATAGTTCAAACTGGCCTTTGGTATTTGACATCATTTTGAGTAAAAAATTGCGAAAATCTTGTATTGTTTGAAAAAAAAATGCAATATACACTGCGCCGAAAATTTTACGCATAGCTTAAATTTTGAATAAACCAATCTTTTGACTGTGAATCGTTTTGAATAGTTTTGTTTATCGAATTATAGCTACATCTTTTGACAAAGTTGAAGTTATATGATAAGCCAAAAAATTAAATAAACATATCGTACAGAGTGTTTAAATACTGTGGAGTAATTTCTGCGGTAAAAATGGGGCAGCCCAAGGAGCAAAAAGTATACGATGTTATAGGCTTATGTCGTCTGAGTTTTTGAGAACTCAATCGTCTGTTTATCTTGAGCCATTCGAGAGACCGGTCGTAAAAAAATTGTATTTTGCGAATGGCTCGAGGTACACAAGCGATTAACGATAGGGCTAAACCAAACTAACCCAAACTACTCAGAAGCTATTACATCGTACACTTTGTTTCTGTTTGAGCTTTCCGATATTTGATCAAGAAAACATGCCACTATTTAAACACTCTATGCAATATGTACATTACATTTTCTTATGTAAGATCCTATTTCTCGGAATAGAGCTATGATTCGATAAAAAAAAATCAATTCAAATCGGATTATCGATTGCAGTGTATTTTATTTTAACTTGTAAAAGCGATCTGAAAAGTTAGGAATTTAATACACTGCACTTATTTTTAAATTGCTATTGTTTGTTATTGGAAATTCGAAATACTCATTTTTATTCTCACCTTGCGAATCATCGGCCAACTTCCACCTCCATTTACATCGTCGTTATTTTTAAGAACATCACCATCCAAGTGAGTTAATTTGATATTATCACTTATACGCAGTTCGTATAAATTTATTAAACCTGACAATGCTCCTTTTTCAATTCGCTCCAGATGCTGCATGTGGCATAAGTGTAAAACTTGCAGTGAGGGAATGTCTGGAAATCCACTGCAAATATAGACAGACGGTTTATTCATGTAAATAAGCTTCAATGCATCTACTTACTTTTCTTTTGTCATATTAACAAAAGAAGTATCGTTGAGGTACAACTCGGTTAAGTTGTGGGATTCAGCTAGAGTTTCGGGGACTTTGTCAATCGGGTTTCCGCTCAAATCCAAAATTGAAAGATACAAAGGCGTGTGCAACATTAGCTCCGGAAGGGTTGAAATCTGCGTGTATCCTAAATATAATTCCTGATAATGGAAAAACTTATCAATAATTACTTAATTACACTTGGTTAGTTCTGTTAATTACAAATAAACACTGTTGACTTGCATTTGCATTTAAATTAGACCTGGGTAACTTAGTGAACTTTTAGAAGTTGGCGCAAATGGCTTGGTGCGCCAACTCAACGCACCGGCGCAGTAACTCAGTTCCGATACTGGGAAAAAGTTGATGACCTTCTATTTGCTGCTTTTAGATGTATTTTAAGAGCCCTTTATTAATAACATTTTGAAACCTTATTCAAAAGTTCAGAATTTTTCAGTTTTAGTTCTTGTTACTCTTTTTTTTAAAAGCTCAAGTTTCTCAAGTTTTATTTAAAAATACTGAAAATCTTAAGGTATTTTCGGCGAAAAATTCTGAAATAAATTTTGTTAGAACACTCGCCTCCTTCCTCGCTTTGGAAAAACTTTTGAAATCCTTTTCCAGCTTCGAACTTGGGACAAAAATCAAATCATTTTCTATAAATAAACGAACAGAATAAACGAAAGTTTATAATAAATTATTTTGAAAACTCGTCACCTCTATTCCTCTGAAGACTCTAGAGTTTGTTAACAAATGTGG